GTGAAGATTCGGTTAATTTGGACTTGGGGGATGTATCGAGGGGAAGAAAGGTAGGGATTGGCTTAGACCAAAGCGCCTCGAAAGAAAGCTGCGGGTAATAAGTAATAAACTTGAAATCCTTAGGCTGAAAACCAGATAATAATATATCATGGGTCAAATAACTACTCCATATGTCGACCAGCTCCAATTGTAACCGGGAGACGAAGTAGGAATTTTGACTTAAACCAAACTGGTCCCCTAAGTTGACCATTTATTTGTCCAAGATTTACGGTAAACGGGGCCAAGGTCGAATCAAAGGAGGATCTAGTCGACAAAAAGTGGAGGTATTTACAATAGGTAGCCTCATTAGTCTTTTGGCGAGGATGGCGGGAGGATAATCGGGCCCCTTCTATATTTACACTTGGGGGAACGGTAGAAATCCGAGGAAGGATACTTTCAAATATCGAAATTAACCATAATTGAATAAACCAAACGGGGCCGGAAAAATTCCCAGATGCCTTAGGGGTACTCAAAATATCGACGGCTTCGTCGAAAGCGGTATATACATGTGCTTAATAAAGTTTTGGCTAAACAAAGTCTAGGGTGGCCTAGGTGAAGGAGATATGCAAGATTGAACAAATGGGGGAAATTTGGATTGAACGGGGGCAAAAAACATGGGTACATAACCAATACACCAAAAATGCTACGTGTTCTTCGTCGATGCATCGCTATCGAGGGTCATCGACAAAGTGTTTCTCGAGAAAATGCCCATAGGCCTTCGACTCCCAATCAATTTTCGACCTCGATGAATTATCGAGGGATATGCACCGGAAAATACCTCTCCCCTATGGGTTTCAACCCGATAATAGCGACTACCTCGAAAAGGGTGGGCGACACGGGGCCACAAGGCAACTCCAAAACATGTAGGTCTTGATTCCATAAATGCACTTGCGAGATAAGAACATCGCCATGTCCAAATGAGACAGGTCACATCGGGACAGGTGCAAAAAATCGAAAATACCGGTACTCCTCCGGTGATCCCCAAACTTAGCCTTGACCCTATCAAACCATCGAATATATAGAGGCTTTTTGGAAGGAGGGCCCGTTCTATACACTTTAGAAGTAAGATTCGAGAAAATCAACCCTAACTTCGGGTTGATGAACCAAAGCCGGACTAGTCGAGAGGTTAAGAGGAGTAAAAATGTCATCGATAGGACGGAGAGGACCCCCAAAAGCAAAATTTACCCCTTCAACGGTATAAGGAATAAGTACCTGCGTCTCGAGCAATCTTACGGGAAGCCTCCTCCATCGGAGGAAGCTGGAGCGAACCTCCGGTTGTTAATCTCCAGCGGGTTAGATGGCGGTGAAGAAAGGGGTGGAGCGAGAAAAGTCGAGAAGATTTTGATGAGGCTGGCCATTGTAGTGAATTTAGGAAAACGAAAGGGAAGAGTTAACGGATGAGGTAATAGGAACGAAGGCAAGAGCTCAAGGAAGAAGATGAAATTGCACAGAAGGTAATGGTTCGCGTAAAAACCAGAGTGAAGACTAAGGGAGAGGTTAAGGGTAAATCGTATAGGGAAGCTGGAACGATGGAGGTGAAAGACAATAAATGCGATGTATCGTGAAGGCAACGGATCGACGAGACAACGACATAAAGCAAAAAGAAACCCACTGACCCTTTTAAAACCCTAGAACCCCGAAACCCTAAACCACTAAATCTGTGGGCTTTCAAACACTAAGGCGGGAATATTGAAAGAATATAAAACAGAAATAATTTATATTCTTCCAAGGGGGCATTTTGTTAGTAGCAAATCGAGAAAAGCGATCGAAATCGAAGGGAAGAAATATGACTCGATAAGATAAACAAAAGTTCATTCGATGTCTAATTAGAAATACGTAGCATATAGCATCGAGAAACACAATCGAGAATCGAATGAATTGTAATCAAATGACTGTTGTCAAATAAAAACTAAGTCATATAAGATCGGGATTAAAAAGGAATCGTGAGCAATTCGAAGTTCTCGAAAGATATAGAATCGAGAATAAAGAAAGCCAATGGGGACATCGAGATTTTGGCCAAATCGTGAAGGGAAGTAAGTCGAATGCACGTATAGAGAGCGGTTTTGAAATCATGGGTAAAAGTTGGAGATCGTGAGATCGTGGGAAACTAGAAGATAAGCTGCCATACGCACGTAGAACGTGGTAGCGATCGTATTAAGCTGCTCTTAGAAGGCTTGAAGGATGCCCTATAAATAGAGCAAAGAAGGAAGGAACAAGGGGAGCAAAAATTGGCGGAGCGCGAGAATCGGCGGTGAAAACGTCTACGGAGGAACGACGAACACCATGAAGTTTACGGCAATCTGGATTTCCCTGCTCACGGAGTACATTTATCGCTTTCTTTATTTTCCTTGGTAATTTACTTTCGAGCCATTTCAATTCAGCAATTTCGTATTCTTGTATACTACATTCAATGTCATTTCGATTTCCTGTTATTTACTTTTTATGCAATCTTAATGGGTTTTAGCAATTTACATTTCCCGCACATTTCGATTTCCTGTCCTTTATTTCTCTTGCAAACTTAATTTCTTGCAAATTTGGGGTTTTCGCATTTTCTTGCAATTTAATACTCTTTTCTCGATTCGATACTTTCTTGCTTTGTTTGATTCGAGCATTTTAGACATAAAATACCAAAAATAGTATTTCTCGATACTTATAGTTTTCGACTCTCATACACATTTTCGATTGAAAATCAAATTGCTAGCCTAAGTAAAAAAGAACTTACATGGTAGAATTTCGATTAGGACCAAAATACCCTTAGGATCGAAATCGATCAAAATTCCACCGAAATAGTAATTAATTAATTTTTTATTTGAAATTGTGATAAACAGTTAAATTGATTTGTTGACAATGACTGATTTCCTATTATGCATGAGTTTGTTGATAAATTTATGGGTAATAAAAAATTTATTTTTAAAAACAATTTTTTCTTATTTTTGTTGTTTTGAGAAATGTTTTTTAAAATGATATTATTTATGAAAAAAAGTCTTATTATTTTCCTTAAAAATTAATAATATTTATCAACTTGAGTTTTGCCCTCTTCCCATCTTGGGAAGTTTTTAATCCAATTCCTCTTTTTTGTGTAATCCAATTTTTCTTTTACCTTTTTCTTTTGTTGGTGAAAAGTTTTTTCCTTTACTCTGATTTGGCTTATGGGTGTTTCTATAGCTTTATTATTATGTGGTGATGAGTGTTTCTTTCCTCAACTTCCATATAGCTTGAGTTAATCTTTGAGTTAGGTAAAGTTTTCTTTTAATTCCTAGTGGTTATCTTATTGATATTCTTGCGGTTCTAATTTCTTTCACTAGCTTTATCTTTCTCTTTCCAATTCTCCTCTCTCTGTGTTGATTGGTTTGTGATATCAATTTTTGTGTAGTTTTCATTTCAAGGGTCAACATGAACTTCTCTCGCCACATAGACAATGAATATGAAAAATTATTCAGAAGAATGAATCCATCCAGATAAGTATCAATTTGATGACATAAAACTTTTCTATCCTTAAACATTACTTCTTCCTTATCTTATTCATGTCCACTTGTTGTCTTCTTCTCAGAGTTGTAATCGGTAATGAATCATGCGAGAATGCCACGGTTATACGAGTATATGTGTTTCTGGTGAAAATTTGATCGATTTCGATTTCTTAGGTTCCGATCAAATTTCGACCACGTAGATTCTTTTCACTTAGACTAGCGACAATTTTCAATCAAAACGTGTATGAGAATCGAAAATCCCATAGTATTAAGAAACGCTAACGACGCAACCTAGTATGCTGATTGACAATCGAAAGTACTATTTTTTATATTTTGTATTAAGAAACTCGAAGTAAAGACAACAATAAAGAAGAAAATATCGAATCAAAGAAACAGTGCAGAATATCAAATTGCAGAAAAAATATAAAAATGCGGAAACCTCAAATCGCTTTAAATGTAAATGGCAAGGAATTGAAATTGCGGAAATGTAAATAACAGGAAATCGAAATTGCAAAAATAGTAAATGCAGGAAAATTTAAGTACAGAATCTTATATTCCATCGAGGGTAAATGACAAAATTTAAAGTATATGAACTTAAATTGATGAATGTAAATAAGTTACCAGGGAAAGTAAAGAAAGCGGTAAAAACAATCAATGAGAATGAAAATCCAGATCGCCAGAAACATCATGATTCGTCGTTTTCCGGTAGACTTTTCACTTGTGCTTCTGTTGTCTCTGCCAATTTCCCTTTCTTCTTCAGGCTTCGTTCTATTTATAAGCATCCTTCAATGTAACCTCCCAAGAGTAGTTAAAAAACTGTCCCCACGTTCCATGTGCACGTTCCTCGACTTTTACCTTAGCTTACAGTTTAAAAAACCGCTTCCACGTTCCATGTGCATTTTAACCGTTCCTCAATCTCGATTCCAGTTATCAAGTACGATTTCCCTTAACCTTGACTTTACACTATACTTTATCATTACTTTCATCGATTTGTTTCTCTCTTTTCTGATTCTCGATTTCGATTCTCGATTTATATGTTCATACTATCTCGTGGTCACCGGGTGTCTTCCAACAATCTTTCCGATTTATCAACTTTTTAACCAATCATATCATCTTCGATTTTCTCTCTTCCGTTTTCGATCCTTGTATCGATTTTTCATTAACAATATGACTATGTTCTGTTTTCTTTTTTAGGGTTTCTTTATCTGTCATTCATCATATTCCTTATCTTTACGACTCTTCTATTTGTGGGTAATGGAATTGAACTTACCTTGCAGATTGATAGTGCAAACAAGCATGAGATACTTCTTGAAATTGTACAAATTCTCACTGATTTAAACCTCACTATAACAAAAGCTTATATATCCTCAGATGAACGATAGTTTTTCAATTTCTCTTTCTTTTTACCTTGTATGTATAAACCCATTGACTTAGAGGGTTGTTGCATCTTATTGTTGTTAGTCTCTGGGCCCAGAGTCTTACTTTATGTGTTCCATGAGATCTGTTGGGGTCACACAAACACAAACTATAGAGCACACTGCAATAAAGTTATTGGGAAGTGATAGGTCGGAGCTGCTTTCAGAAGTGAATGCTGTTTTAACCAATCTCAAATGTAACATAGTGAATGCAGTGGTGTGGACTCATAATACTAGTGCATCAGTTGTGATGCATCTAACTGATGAAGAAATAGGCTCTGCTATCACTGATCCACAGAGCCTCTCTCTAATCAAGGAGCTTTTATGCAATGTGATGGGAGGTGGCAACAAAGTCAGGGGATCTAGCAATGTAGTGACTAAAGAAGTTAACAATACTGAGAGAAGGCTTCACCAGATGATGTTTGCTGATAGGGATTATGAGCAAGTTGATGATGATGATGAGGATGTTGATGAGAAAAGTAGACCAAAAGTGACTGTTATAAATTGGTCTGATAACGATTACTCCGTCATTATTATCCAATGTAAGGACAAGACAAAACTTCTCTTTGATGTAGTTTTCACCTTGACAGAAATGCAATATATGGTTTTCCATGCAAGTATTGATTCTAAAGGGTCAAATGCTTATCAGGTATCTCTGTGTTATTTGTGTGACATTATAATCTTTTGAGGATACGAGGTAAGTATTCTGTTTATTTAAATTTAGGAATTTTACATCAAGCACATAGACAGGTCCCCTATAGAATCAGATGCAGAGAGACAAAGAGTGATACAATGTCTTGAAGCTGCTATTAAGAGAAGATTATCCGAGGTGAAAAGTGAATAATTTCTGAAGTTATTTGTCTCTTACTTTTATTTGCTAAGAAATTTTCCCACAAAACTCATTCATTAAATTCTTTTGTTTGTAAGTATATTATTAAGAACATTTTTTTCGTCAACTATGATTTATTTTTATCCTCTAAAATTTTGTGGAGGTGATCTCTATCATTTTCTTTATATCTTTTTACCCATGACAGTGATTCACCTTTATGCTAGTTGCATGGGACCAATCTTGCATTCATTACTGCTATAAAGTTAGATGGTTCTCTAGTTGTAGGCTACTCTATACTAATTGAAATCTATAAATTGATTAATTGGTAACTAGAATTTGATGACCTCATAATACAACAATTGTTTCTTCCTCCACCTTATTGTGTTATTATATTGAAATTTGGGTCATTTGGTGTATGACTTCGCTATTATTTTATATTCTAGTCCAGAAAATCCACTACCCTTTATTATAGAAATGCGAGTCATGCATTTTTTGCATGTTTATGTTTTCACTTTCCTTTTGGTTGGTTTCCTTCAATGAAGAAGACTAATAATTTGTTTATTGCTCATTCAGGGTTTGAAGCTAGAACTAAGCGCAACAGACAGAGTTGGACTGCTATTTGATGTCACACAAATCATCTGAGAGAACAACCTCACAGTTACAAGGGCAGAGGTGACAACCAAAGGGGCCAAAGCTGTTAACACCTTCTATGTTGGAGGGTCTTCAGGTTGCCCAGTTGAGTCCAAGACCGTAGAATCGATTCGCCAAGCAATTGGCAACACTATACTCAAAGTAAAGGGAAAACCCGAAGAGTTGAAACCTACTCCTCAGGACTCTCCAACCAAATTCCTTTTTGGTGGTCTTTACTCTCTAATTAGATTCTTTTTTGGTGGTATTTTTAAATCCAGATCCCTTGCTAACTTCGGCTTGGTTAAGTCTTACTCTTGAGATTGTGAATGAAACATGCTTCCTTTCATTTTGTCCAGGAAAAACTGATGAAGATACAAACTTTTGTAGACCTTAGAGCAAGTTTGCTTTTCCACGACCTTCAACATTGTTTTTCCCCCGATTTTTGCGATGGTCTCATATTAACAAGTGCACAAAAGAAAATATAGGCACTCTTTTTGAGACTTGTGAGGTCTTTTCCTTACTTATCAGTTAATTTATATATCTTGGTGTTTTATTTTATTAATATTAGTTAATTTATCCTTCTAATATTTTTTTTTTGCTTAATGTTGATGATGAAATCATTAACCACTCACGTCATATTGCAATGTTTATTCATTTTTTTTAAAGGGATACAACTCATATAAATGATGGTAATGTCTCACATAACAAGGAGGAGGAAGTCAGTCAACCACACAATCCCGAGGAGGATGGTGGTGACCCACAAATTATTGAGGATGGTAATGATTTACTTTAGCCAAATTTAGAGATTGGAGGCAAACACACATATATATTGACCACTCCCATTATTTTTAGAGGGTAATTTCGTGGTTGACTTAGATAATACATCATATAATGAGGAGGAGGAGGTCAGTCAACCACAGACCCCGAGGAGGATGGTGGTGACCTACCAATCATTGAGGAAGATATAAAGTATATAAAAAGTCAAAAAAATTATGTTTTTAATTTTTTTAACTAAAATTCAAATTTTTGTTTCTTATCAATTGCGTATTAGCGTGATTGAGACAACAGGTTCACGAGTGGCTAGAGAGCTGAGTGGTCTGCATTATCTCCTCCTTCCACTAAAAGAAGACGGAATCCGCCAAAGAGATTTGGTGATTGGACTCAAAGTAATTATAGTAACTCTTTTATTCTTGTCATTGACTTTTTTTTCTTTCTCTGCTTTAACTTATCGTTCTCTTACTCGGTTGCCATATTAGATAGCTTATATTTTAATCAATTTATTTTAATTTTTCTTAAGTATTATTTTGGAGTAGGAAGAAGGATTGACAAAAGAAGCAGGAGATAGATTGTAATGAATTTTGTTATATACTTGTTAGATATAATATTTATATGGTTCTATATTCATTTTAAATTTTACCACTAACCAGATTTGATATTTATAATAACTATTTTGAAGAAAAAAAAATGTAAGGCATTAAGAATATCAGGAATGTTGCAGTTTTGTACTATAAATATGTACTATATTTTGAAATATATAGGGATGATAGAAAAAAACAAACCGATTATAAAAGGAAAGGTTATGATCTGGAGATTTACAGATATTAGAGAATATATATATTAAAATCATTATGATAACATCGACATCGTAGGGCAAAGAAACATCTACCAGTGGTAATCCTGGTTTATTACAATTACAGCTCTTAGAGTTTATATCTGAAAATAGCTAACCAGAAACTGATTTCATACAAGCTTGAAATAATAAAGAAATAGGTTGAATCAATTCTGCCAATAATATCACTTAAGCTATTGAAACGTGAAAGCATCTTCTACTCATTGGTTCGTTTAAAATTTTCCGTAGACATAGTACATCGTTCAGTTAAGCATTATATCATTTAACTTAATTTATACAACTCACTTAAGCCTAAAAAATTTATTTAGATACTATTTTATAAAATTTAATTTTAAAAATTTAAAATTAAATATAAATTTTAGATATTTTTCTTATTTTATTTTTAAAAAATGAAAATAAAAATAAAAAACTTATTTAAAAAAATTCTTATTTTTGCTGTTTTGGGAAAAGTTTTTTAAAATAATATTATTTATGAAAAAAGTCTTATTATTTTCCTTAAAAATTAACAATATTTATCAACTTGAGTTTTGCACTCTTCCCATCTTGGGAAGTTTTTAATCCAATTCCTCATATCCAATTTTTCTTTTACCCTTTTCTTTTGTTGGTGAAAAGTTCTTTCTTTTACTCTGATTTGGCTCGTGGGTGTTTCTATAGCTTTATTGTTATGTGATGATGAGTGTTTCTTTCCTCAGCTTCCATATAGTTTGAGTTAATCTTTAAGTTATGTAAAGTTTTCTTTTAATTTCCAGTGGTTATCTTATTGTTATTCTTGCGATTCTAATTTCTTTCACTATTTTTATCTTTCTCTTTCCAATTCTCCTCTCTTTGTGCTGATTGGTTTGTGATATCAATTTTTGTGTAGTTTTCATTTTAAGGGTCAACATGAACTTCTCGCTATATAGACGATGAATATGAAAAACTATTCAGAAGAATGAATCCGCCCAAATAAGTACCAATTTGATGAAATAAATTTTTTCTTTCCTTAAACATTACTTCTTCCTTATCTTATTCTTGTCCACTTGTTGTCTTGTCTACTCAGAGTTGTAACGGGGTGGGGCGGTGGCGGGTTTTGCCTCCCCGATCCCCGCCTCCGACTTTTTTAACTATCCCCGTCCCGCCCCGATCCTCTGCGGAGTTAGAAATTAAGTCTTCATCCCCGTCCCGGGTTCCCGTCCCGTCCCCGATCTATATTATTTTTAAAATGATAATTACATTTATAATAAATTAAATTTACTATCTATTTTTTATATATAACTAAATATTTATAATTTTATAATTTATAATTATTATTAATTAAATATACATTTTAATTTACTATATTTATATTAAAATATATATGTAAAAGAAATATTTAATCATTTTTTATTTATAATATTATTATTATAACGTTGTATTGAAATATTTGGATACTTATAACATTATTATTATAATATTGTATTCAAACATTTGATTATATATATATATATATATATATATATATATGTTAATTTATTTTTAAGTTGTCATTTAAAAATATGAAATATATAGTTTATAAGGAAATATTTAATAAGTTAATTCTTATTCAATTAGTTCGAAGTAATAAAAGTTTAAATTATCAATTCCTTTAATCCTTTAAATTACAGTTATTTTATTAAGATAAAATTTGATATATGATAAATAAAAATAATAAGATAAAAAAATATGACATAATAAAACCTAATAAATATAAATTATAAATAAAATAATATTAGTTACTACTAAGATTTATGTAAAATATTTAGAAAAAGATAAAGAATAAAAAAATTAATTTTGTGTTCATCAAATTGGTTGAAAAGATTGAAAAAAAAATTGATGGGAGAGATTAAGGAAATGTGAAAAACGGAAAGGTAAGAGAGAGAATAATGTAATAAATTAATTGATATAAAAGATTAAAAAAGACAAAAATTAAAAAGTGGGTAGAAGAAAAATAAAAATTAGTGAAATATAAAAAAATGACCTTATATGTAATAGAAAAAGAAAAGGAAATACTTTTAAAAATTAATATTTAAAAATTTAAAATTTAAATATAAAGTCGGGGTGGACACGGGGGGTGGGGATTGCATTACTTATCCCCACCCCCGACTTTTTAAAGCGGGGAAAACCTGAACCCGCCCCTGCCCCCGGTCAACTCGGGTTTTCCCCAGCAAACTCAGGACGGGGACGGGTCGGTCCCCACGGGTATGAGTTTAATTGTCATCCCTAGTTGTAATCGATAATGAATCATGCGAGAATGCCACAGTTATACGAGTATATGACTATGTTCTGTCTTCTTTTTGAGGGTTTCTTTATCTGTCATTCATCGTTTTCCTTATCTTTACGACTCTTCTATTTGTGGGTAATGGAATTGAACTTACCTTGCAGATTGATAGTGCAAACAAGCATGAGATACTTCTTGAAATTGTACAAATTCTCACTGATTTAAACCTCGCTATAACAAAAACTTATATATCCTCAGATGGACGATAATTTTTTAATTTTTCTTTCTTTTTACCTTGTATGTATAAACCCATTGACTCAGAGGGTTGTTGCATCTTATTGTTGTTAGTCTCTGGGTCCGGAGTCTTGATTGATGTCTTCCATGAGATCTGTTAGGGTCACATAAACACAAACTATAGAGCACACTACAATAGAGCTATTGGGAAGTGATAGGCCGGAGCTGCTTCAAAAGTGAGCGTTGTTTTAACTAATCTCAAATGTAACATAGTGAATGCAGTGGTGTCGACTCATAATACCCGTGCAGTAGCTGTGATGCATGTAACTGATGAAGAAACAGGCTCTGCTATCACTGATCCACAGAGGCTCTCTTTAATCAAGGAGTTTTTATGCAATGTGATGGGAGGTGGCAACAAAGTCAAGGGATCTAGCAATGTAGTGACTAAAGAAGTTAACAATACTGAGAGAAGACTTCACTAGATGATGTTTGCTGATAGGGATTATGAGCAATTTGATGATGATGATGAGGATGTTGATGAGAAAAGTAGACCAAAAGTGACTGTTATGAATTGGTCTGATAACGATTACTCCGTCATTATTATCCAATGTAAGGACAAGGCAAAACTTCTCTTTGACGTAGTTTTCACCTTAGAAATGCAATATATGGTTTTCCATGCAAGTATTGATTCTAAAGGGTCAAATGCTTACCAGATATCTCTCTGTTATTTGTGTGACATTATAATCTTTTGAGGATACGAGTTAAGTATTCTGTTTATTTAAATTTAGAAATTTTACATCAAGCACATAAACGGGTCCCCTATAGAATCAGATGTAAAAAATAAAATAATGTGTGACTTAAATTAAAATAAATATATTATTTATTTAAGTTGTGGTATAATTTTAAGTTAAATTAATTTGGATTCATTTTAAAAAATAATAATTATTTTTTAAATAAAAAATAATATATACATATATATAAATTATAAATTAATTTGATAAAAAAATATTTAATTTGAAGAATAAATATTAAAATAAATCTCTAATAATTATTTATTTCAAGATTTAATAATTAAATTTTATTATTATTTTAAATCAATAAATTAATAAAAAATAATTATGATAATAAAAAAAGTAATTCTTATTTTAATATTGAATTGATTTATTATCTTATAATTTATATATTAAATAATTTTATTAATATAATTTAAATTTTAAAATATTTTTTTAATTGTTTGTTTATTAAAAAAATATTTTTATTTTTATTTAAATAGTTTTAATTAATTATTTTAATATAAATATATAATATATTTTGTTATTTTTAATTAAATTAAAATTAATCTTTTAGTACATTGACCTTATATAAACAAAAAATAAATTAAAAATTATAATCTATTTTCAAATATACTCACCATCAAATTTTTTTCTAATTTAATTTACAAAATCAAGTTAGACTATCATATATATATATATATATATATATATATATATATATATATATATATATAACTTAAAGCCTAGTTGAGACCATCATTATAATAATTACGTTTTGTTCAAAGAATAATATTAATTGAAATCCACGTTCTTCTCAATAAATAATAAAAGTTAAAAAAATATTTATCATTTATTATTTTTATAATCTAATGATTATCAAAATTATATTTTATATTATTAAATTACTAAATACAGAGTACTTAGTAGTCATCAAGAAAAATATGTCTTTAATTTTTATTATCAAAGAAAGCCAATCATTTCTCATTTGTCAAACCGCAATTTAAAACATATAATAATTTATATCTCTATATTCTAAAGTAATTTTCTTAACCTCCTTAAAGAAACAGTGTTAACATAATGTAACATATTTTAACTAATTTGACCAAACTAATCATGTTTGTTCAAAACTCAGAAGTTTCCAAACTGATCCAAATAAGAGTCAATTTTAAAATTGAATCACCCTGTTGTATTTGAATTGACATAATTAGACTATATTTATCTGTAATAATAATATTAATAATAATATCTTCTTTTACATCTTATTTTTATTCTAATGTCGCTAATATTAGAATAAGATTTTGTTTTTGACTTAGACATTTCAAAAAAAAAAAAGTTCATACATCACCCTCCTACGAGTAAAATCAACCCCGAAATAATTGAACATTCTACTATATCTTTTCAGTTTTGTTATCAATTTGTTCCTTTTTATGAGACAAAAATATTTAATACAAGATATAAGAACTAATGGAATTAAGAAAGAACTAAATGTCATGCTAATAATATGTTTCTGATGAAGAAGTATATATATAAAATGAAATTATAATAATTAGAAAATTTGATGTAATTTAAAAAAAAGAATATAATGTACAATATTGATAAATATTAAAAATGTTATTGTAATTTACTTAAAAATATAACATTATTTTTAACTTAAAATACTAAAAAAATTGTTTTGTAAAAAAATATGTGTGTGTTTTGGTGCATGCCAAATGTTTTTACATTGAATTTGTACATGTGTACATGTGGTGGTTACCTTAACATATGATGTGTGTGGCTTCTAAATTGTTGTATATTACACCTTTTTCCTCTAGTTTTAATATATGTTTTTATTTTTTTTCCTTATGTAATCATAGTTATAGAATGAGAAGTGTAATACCTTGAAAAAGTTTCTTCTTTTATAAGATGCTTTCTATCCAATTATCTAGAATTAAACTTCAAAAATATTATTTATTAGATGAGAATGACATTAAAATTTGAAAAATAAAAACTAAATTTAGTTAGGATAATTTAATAATTAAATTTACTACAAAGTTTTATTTGTTTGTAATTTATTAATAATTTATAATTTGATTGGAAGAATATTTATAAAATGTTACTTATAATTGTAGACTAAATTTTTTTATTGATGTGAGGAAAAATAATTTATTATATTTAAAGTATAGTAAATAATTATTACAAGGGAAGTTTTAAATTTCACCTTTTAACTAATAACTAAATTATTAACCTATCACTTAGCACGAAAAAGAATTTAATAAGGGTCAAGATAAATTAATTTCTAAGATGATTAAAATTATAATTAATACTAAGTTATAATTATATAGTAAAAATTTATAATATGCAAAAATAAATCCAATATAAATTTACTCATCTTTCTAATTAATTAATACATATTTTTAAACCTACTAATCATCTCACTTATCATTTTAGAGAGGACCGCTATCTATACATCTCATCCTAAACCTTCTTCAATTAAAACACATGCATACAACTAATCTCACTCACATCTCCCTACAAAACTATAAAATAAAACAAAAGAAAGTGAAGTTCGTTTCTAACACAAGCACACACTTATTTGATATTTGCTTCGGTCTTACTCTCTCAACTAACTAACTAGATCTCCCAAAATAAAACACACACCCACCTATAGAAAAGGAGAAGAAAAATAAGAAAAAAGAGTTAAGTAGAAACCATTGTAATTTGTTCCCGAATCTCACTCTATTATTATCTTGCTTTGTTTTTAAAGTAAAAGATAAACCTTGATGAACCTCAACATTGTTGTCGTAGAAAGTGAAATCATGATTATCTAAGTTATTTATTATCCTTATTTGCATGTTTGACCATTTACATGCGTTTGTTTAGACTTTTGGTTGAGAATAATTTAACTTCATGAGTTGGAAAATGTTTTGAGAACAAAGGAGACTCTATTCAAAGTTCTTTTTGAATTTTCAATAATTTATTACATACAGAGAGCAAGGTGATAAAGGATTAATCACTAGTACAAAATAGGCTTTTAACATCGGTTCTAGAACCGATGTAGAAAGTGTGACTTTCCACATCGGTTGTAAGGAACCGATGTAGAAAGTCTAATATTTTATTTTATTTTATTTATTCATAACACATCTCTAATTACCCTATCTATTGATCTAGAGTTTCCTAAACTATCCTCTCCCTTTTATAACCCTTTTATATTATATTTTTATTATTTATATTTTTTAGGAATTTGAATTATTATCAGATTAAGAGAATTGTCACTGCAAGATTCGAACCCAGTACCTTAGAGTCGGAGGGCGATACTCCAACCACTAAGCTACCAGGATTTTCGATAATAACTTATACATAAATTATATTTATATACAAATAAAAATGTATATCCATGTAAATATATAAATATAAAATATATAAATACAAATACAAATATATTTATATGTTGGATGTGAGGACGCGCTCGAGGATGAAAGTGTGTGTCGAGTGAATTTTTAAAATTTGATGTCAAATTTGTGAGCGGGTCTCTTTATATGGATTATAACTTAATGACAAAATATAATCTTTATAATTTATTTATATAATGATATAAAATAATTTTTTTCTTTATTTTATATCATTATATAAATTAATTATAAAGATTATATTCTATATTATTATAAATAAATTATAAAGATTATATTCTATCATTAAATTACAAATTCATATAAAGAAACTTGCTCACAAATTTGACATCAAATTTTGAAAACCCACTTGACACACACTTTTATTCTCGAGCGCGCTCTCACATCCAACATATAAATATATAAATATATTTGTATTTGTATTTGTATATTTTATATTTATATATTTACATGGATATACATTTTTATTTGTATATAAATATAATTTATGTATAAGTTATTATTAGAAAATCTTGGTAGCTTAGTGGTTGGAGTATTAGCCTCCGACTTTAAGATACTCGAGTTCGAATCATGCCAAGTAACAATTTTCTTAATTTTATAAAAAGACTTTCTACATCGGTTCATCTGGGAACCGATGTTGAAAGTCTTGAATTCACTTTCTACATCGGTTCTTAAAGAACCGATGTGGAAAGCCCGATGTTAAAAGTGATTTCTGTACTAGTGAATTATGACCAATATTTTATATTTTTCTCAACATTTAATAAATGAATTTACATCAAACTAATTTTCCTTGAAAAAATAAACATTCAAGGTAGCAACTTTTATGTTGAAGACTTTGTGTGAGATTTATCCTAAAAAGTGGTTTCTTGGAATATGAAAGTGACCCTTATGTTTTGCTCTTGCAAGCTTAGAGTATCTCGTTCTCTACACATACACATGTATCTTTGTGGATATAATTTTCAAATTTTAAAATAGAGAACTAACACTCAATTTTTATTCGTCATTTTATCTTTTTAATAAAAATATAACTTTTTATTTTGAGATGAGCGTTGTTTCTTCCCTTGAAGTAAGGTAAGAAATAAAATTTTAGTGATAATGTTGTAGATAAAATTAAAAATTAAAATTATTTTTTTAGAAAGCTTATTTTGTTAAATTTAAAGTAAAAAAAAAAAAAACTAAGCAAAATGGATCTAGGAAGCTTAAAATAACTATCTTTAAGATCAATATTGTCAAGTTGAAAGTCCATTACAACATGAAATTTCTAATAAATTTTGTAGATTCTTCTTGATACATGTGATATCATTTCATAAACTAGATTTAATGTTCTTTAATTTTGCATTAAAATTTTAGCTATAAAACATATTTTAATAATTTAAAACCAGAGACATATTATCATATTTTCAATAAAAAATCGTGAAGATTTACTTTTTATTTTGCTATGTATAGATATTAAAAGTGTTATTTTTGTATAAATGGTTAAGAGAAGTGTGACTCTTAATATGTTTTATAAATGTGTGATAAGTTATGTGTGTTATATGTTTTTTAATTCTTGGTAAGGATATTACTTAGATTCAATATATCCTTGATAGTACATTACAATTACGTTTATTCCAATAATCTCACAGAAATTTAAATAAAATTGTGTTAAGATATGTGAAGTAAGAAAAAATAAGAAACATATGAAAAACTAAGAAAATATAAATAAGTGTTGATTTATGACACAGGTGAAGTTGAGACAGTCATATTGTATGATGCATAGTTAGATGAGATGCGTAGGTAGATGAGATGCGTGCATCTTAGTTTGTGTCGTGATATTAAGAATTTTTACCCTTACATTTTGTTTATAGGACCTGATAATTCGATCAGAATCAACACTTTATCTTGAGGTCAAATACCTTTGAGACAAATGGATACTTGATTGATGTGGTAGTGGACACTTATCATTTTGTTATGTATCCTTAATTTACATGCACACCTTGGATGATTTTAAGTTGTTACCTTAAATATTCAAACTTTATTTATGGTGAAATCATCTTATTTTTTTAATATTCAAATTTTATTTATGGTGAACTCATCTTACTTTCTTATTACACCCGAAAATATTTACTGATAACATAATTTTTGACAGATTTTTGTCATCGATAATTCGTTAATAATATTTATTTATCGATGAATTTTCTTAATTATCAATTTTTTTCCATCTAAAAATTTAATTTTTTTTGTATAAAATAATAAAAAATAGAATTGACCAAAGAAGATGGAAGAGATCCTTGTTGAAAAAGATTTGGAGATATCCAACATTGTCGCAATCATTATAGTGGACAATCAATCACGTGGGATGCGGAGGTTGTTTAGATGAGAAAAATTGAGATGAGACTCTCACAAAAATTCTTTTGAAGAATCAGATATTTTTATCCTAATTTTTGACTTATATATCAATTTATTCCATATTTAGATGGATATTAGAGATGGATGTTTTGAAGATTAAGATTTTTTTTTGAATTATGTGTATTTAAATTAGATAAATTTATACGTTTAGACTCTTTTTATATATAGTTACAATAACAATGTAAAGTAAAGTAGTAGAAGTAAAGTAAGTTGATATATATAAAAGTAGTAATTAAATTAAAGTAAAATAATTTGACTTATATAAGGTAATAATTCAATTAAAGTAAAGTAATTTGATTTATATAATTATATTCTTGAAATTAGTTTAATTTTGTGAACACCTTAATCAATTGATTGATTATTTAATTAAGAGAAATCTCCTTATATCAATATTACTTTTAATGATTGAAGTATGAGTGCTTAAAATTGATTCCATGCCATAAGGCAAACTTTACATTTGAGCACATATTAACTATTTTGTGATCTCTTTCCTTAAATTAAAAATAACGGTAGATCTTGATAAAATATTTTTAAACAAATAATATATTATTAATAAATAATGAAAAATATAAAATATATTTTTTAATATATTTAATAATCCTCATACCCAAAAAAGAAAATAACACACTTTAACTAATTGTAATTGTATTTTGAAGGTTTGTACCATTGTAAATAGGGGTAAGGGAATTGGAAAATTAATTTAATATGGCTTGTCTGTTGTGCATATTGTTCTCTAAGTATGGTATTTTTTTATTTTTAGAAGACTCAAGTCAAAAATAGAACTTCACATCAATTTTAGTTAAAATAGATTTAAAATTTTTAACAGCACAAAAATCTACACGATTAACCCAAGTAATATATCATATTTAACATTCGTGTAACCTGGAGTAATGCTCCTTCAAATATCCTGAATTAAACGGTAAAAGTAAAGACATGATCAACTTGAAGCATGCATACATCTCATTCCATTTGCGACAAAGTTATGACTTACTTACAAAAGTAAACAGAATGTTTGAAGGCATCACATTCTCAACACAAAAAACAAAATTGAAAATAAAGCATCAAAGTTATTGTATCAAAGGGAACATAATACATTTATTCTAAAAGTCCTGAGTCATTGTTGACCCAAAGGAACAAAATAAATTTTAAAGTCAAAAGTTATATATTGAGAGAAAGGAACACAACATGCACACTAAAACATTCCATAAATATCTTTTCGGAAACACAGAGGAAATAACCACTTCTTACTTTTCTTCCCTTTTAATATCCAATTTCAATTACTGTGGTGTTAACCAAATTCCATGTATAAACCAAGGTATTATATATATTCAAGATTGGTTAATAATATGCATGTTCATGGTGCATTACTAGTATGAGTTTTCACGTCCGAATGAGAGTCTTTTGTGTTATAACTTTCCTTTGTTTTACTCAATGAATATGTATAATTGAAAAAAATCTATTTCTACACACATTTTTAATACCATGTAGTTGAAACTAAATACATCGTGCTTTATTCTTAAAATTACCATTAAAAAATAATTACTATTGTATTTATAAGTAGGACTTTCTTTAACTGATCATAACAGAGTGACCAAAATTCATAATTTTTTTTATGATTTTCAATGTAGTTTTAATAATAGCATTTTTTATTTTTTTTATGATTTAAATTTTTTCTTAAAATGTACATTTTTCAATGTAGCTTTAATAATAATATTTCTTTTTAATTCTTTAATTGATTAATGATAATTAACAAATTTTTATGACAAAATATATACATTTTCAAGTTATTTTGCACCACATTTTCAAAAGAATATGTTAGGAAGTAACGTAATCCATTTTCAAATAAAATAAAATCTTACTTATATAGAAATAAATAAAATATCACAATATTAAAATTTATGAAATTCAATAAATGTAATTGTATTTTTCAATTACATGTAACAAAACCTTAAATGTATGTAATTGAAAAGGAATATTAGAATTTTAACACAAGGTATAAAGCCACCAGTTGATTCGTCTTTTTTCTTTTCCCAGACATGCATTTATATATGAACATCCGTAACATCTTCTCTCCCTTCAAGAGTTTAGCTAAGTTTTTATTTATTTATTTATATATTTATTTTGTTTTGCCATCTCACTTAATAAACTTAATAATAATAGCCAATATATGTAATGTAAAAGTCTTTAAATAATTTGAGAATGTATTATTGGATAATAGTTTAAACTTTTTTCACACCTTATCAAAATTACATTTTATAGAAGACGTATATATATATATATATATATATATATATATATATATATATATATATATATATATATATATATATATATATATATATTGAAATAATATTATTTGAAAACCTTAATTTTAGAACTATAACCTACTTTTTTTTCTTTTTTTGTGTGAATATAACTATAACCTACTTGATATTAGTTTAGCGATCGAAATACATTCATCCACAACAAATATTCTTAGCCTAATTAAATATAAAAATAATAAAAAAATGTTATACAAAAAGTAAATAGTATTGAACTGAATAAAAGTTATTGTTTTATTACCCTTTGTTGTTGGAAATTTTGAATTTTAATTTTTAAAACTTAACCAACTCTTAGAAATTAACACGTACATAATTTAATCTTATAAAATCAGATAAATTAGATAAAATTTATATTTATTTATAATGTTATTATATTGTTAGTCAATGTAAAATCTTTTATTATACTAATAGTTCACGATCAGAACTTTTTCATCAAATGGCATAGAAGAGTTCATGTTTTGTCGGTTTGCTGAAAAACATTCTCATCGGATTGTATATATGGTAGCCACACTTTTGCTAAAAATATTATTAATTTATAATTAGACTGTACATACTCATTATTTATTGCCGTGCACATTTCCGACAAACCTTTAAAACTAGGCTTAATTAAATAATTGAATTGTAATCTAGATAAGATAAATGATACCTAAAAATGTTCACGTAAGAACACTTTCTTTTCTTTTGAAAACTTGCACAGAAACACTTTTGTAAAACATAAAAGTTTTGGAAAGTACGTGGAAATTGTCCAATTTCAAAACTAATTAGGTATGCAATAAGCATTGTTAATAAAAAAAAGGCATATCGTCAGTGAATGGAATTTTCATGCGCCCCCAAGGGCACTTCCCCTGTAAAAATTTTAATACTCGTCGTTAGTTTTCTTAGGTGCAACACAAATTATTCATAACTATTTATATACATGGTCTCTTCGGACAAACTTGTTTCATTATATAACAACATGGAAGGATCCAAGTTACAGAGTGAGGAGAGAGTAGTGGAGGACAATGATCATAAGCATCTTCGTATTCAAATTCGTAGGTTAAGAGCCCGAAGAGTTAACCTTGCTCCAAGGGTTAAGCCAAAGAAATCCTCAAGGTTAGACCACACTCAAAAATCACTCCCCCTAACCATTTTCTTTTAGTACTCTTCAGACTAGAGGAAAGAAATTATGGCATTTTGCTCTTGTTGGTTGTAGCTTCTACTTTGTACCTTTTGATTTTCCCTAAACTTTCAATCCCACCAAGTGAACGTTTCTTCTACAAATCCATTTGAGAAAAAGAGCTTACAGCGGTGCACAGAAGTCAATAAACAAATTAAACTTTTGAGTTTTAAACTTTTCAAAATTATTTTATTAAGCTGTAAGTTATGCAAGAACTTTCGAACATGTTTAATGTATTATTGATTGAATTCATACAAAGTTCACTAGTTTAACACAAGAGGCTGGATTTGTTAAGGGAAATAAGTCATTATATCATCTTCTTCACTAGAATTTCTCATATTAAACAATGGCTTGTTAATATTTTTCAGTTCATAGGGACATAATATTATGTCTTCTTTTTCACTACTTTTGCAGCACATCAACTACCAAGAAGGATCAGCGACTGGTTATTACTGCATTCCCATGTCATGAGGTGTTCATGTTTCTGAATCAACATTTCCTTGGAGCCCTTCAAGTCGAGTATCAAAACAAGACCAAATCGCCATTTGAGACACACCCAATTCACATGTGGACTTTCCTTACTTCCATATGCTTTTACAGTGTTGTTCTTGCATTCAAAGTCCACCTAAAGCCTCAAAGTGGCCACTTTGCTATGATCCTCAAACACCTCCTGATTGTCGCAGGATCACTTTCTTCAGCATCCCTTTTGTCCATCTTCCAACCATGCCACCATTTTTGGTTTCTCTACGCCATAGGGTTATATATACCACTAATGCTGGCTCATCATTACTTGCTGGTGTTAAAGGTGGTAACAAGACTTAAGCTTTCCAACTTCAAGACAATCTAAATTTGTTTTCTACGTGTTTCGTAATATCGTTCCTTTTCTTTAGTATTTCATTGAGGTTAGTAAATACGTGTTTGGAACTTAGTTGGGTTGAATTGTACGTGAATTCTGCTTAATCAAAATTAGATACCAAACACATCCTAAATAATTAAAGTGCTGGTATCTACTAAATAATAGACGATGTTTTTACCAAAAATCAAACAAACAAACGAAAACCATGTTATATTTATAGTTTATTATGGTATATACTTATACTTAAAGTTTCACGTAACTTATTGAAGTGCTTTTAAGAATATCAGCACCATTATGGAATTGAGAACTCAGTATCATTCACCTTTTACCCTTTAATCTTTTATTAAGAGTTGTATCTCCCCTGAACTCTTTACCTTCTACTGGAAACTATAATTAAGGACAGTCTCACGATTTCAACAATATTTTTATAACATACACAAAAGACGAAACATTTTCCTTCCTTTAGGGTTTCGTTAAGAGTTAAACTTCGATACGTATCTCAAAAAAGAAGGTATTTTACTTTTCATTTTCATCCACATAAAAATGAATATTATAATTTACAAGTGAGAAGTGACAACAGCCTTATACTTTTGTCCATTTTAGGTCAAATATATAAAAATAGTTGTCAATAAGGAATTCAAAATGCTTCAGTGATAATATATGAAAATATTGCGACTTGACACGTGGACTACCACAACACTTTATTTGTCCAACAATAGTATACGTGGGAGATGTAACTACCAATTAAATGCAAAATTATGACTAGAAGAATTTAGGCTAAAATATTTTTTTTACATTTATTTTCAATTTTCAATTTTACTATAATAAAAAATTGATTAATGTTCATAATCATATTTTCTGTTTAAATTTTATTTGTATCCACTAATTATGTGATTAAATGTTGATATTCACGTTATTCTTCTAAGCCAAGATGAATCTCTACAAGTATATATATCTTTAAATTTTTAAGTGTGCCTTCAAAAGATGTTTCGAATGTTTTTTTGTTTACATTTTGATTGATACTTCATGTCTTATTTATATTATCGCGTTTGGGTTTTACTGACGGATTTATGTTCTTAAACTTTGTCTAGGTGTTCCTAGCCACCACTTAGTGAAGAAGTCTAACTCCAAGGCTATAATAGGCATATTTAGTGTAGTTGAGCGGATATATATATATATATATATATATATATATATATATATATATATATATATATATATATATATATATATATATATATATATAAAAAAAGTAAGTTAACGAATTAAAAAATTATCATAATCCACTTATTTGATATAAATTAATAAATTGATCCATAAATCTAATTTACATTATCATCCTTAATACTATTTAAAATTAATATTATGTTATCTTATTATTAGTTCGAATGTCTCATTGAATGGTATCAATAAAATATTTATAAAAAATATATGTTAAAATATAGATTTAAATAAATAATTTATCTATTTGAAATTAATTTGTATTCTACTCCATTTCCTAGTTTTAAAAATAAATAATTTATTTTACATATTTTTATACTCTCTTTCTTTTAATCAAAATAACTTTATTTTTAATTATCTTTCTTTTTTTTCCTTTTTAAATTCACTCTTCAATTTAAATAAAGGCTTAATAAAAATATTATTTAAAATAATAATAACTATAAATATTAAAATGACAAAAGAAATCACATAAAATATGAAAGCATGTCTCTAGTAGTCTTGTTTTAGGCCCTTAAGCACAATAGGCATATATGAAAGTCTTGGTGCTTTGTTATCAAATTCTCAAATCCTAATGTATTGAATAGTTTACAAAATGATATATTGTAATTTATAAAATACATTTTTCTTATAAGGTTAAGAATCTTCCATGAGACTGAGTCTAATGGTTTAGTCATCAAGTATTTGTAGATCTTCTGACACTTGATCACTAGTATATTCATGTTCTTTTGTTTGAGATGTGATTAGTATATTTGTAAAAGACACTGTGATACTCAACTTTGTTGAGAATATAAGTATAGAGAATATTCACAATCAATGAACAATAGCATACCTTGGAATCCACCTCTTTTATACTATCTTGGTTAGACTTTATTAATAGGTCTTGGCTTCTTGGCTTTATTTAGGTATATTTGGTAAGCCACTCTATAGTGAGAAGACCTAGTTGTGTGGCTATAATACACATGGCTAGCCCTATACATATAGTCGCATGGCTATAGTACATGTGGCTATGCCTATATATCTGTAACCCTTCATGGTTGTATGGTATAGTACACTGGATCCCCAAGTTCGAGAGAGCCGTTAATGATGGAGAAAATGTGGACAAAATTTTTTTTTGTTCTTTAGCCGGGATCTTACCAGCTCGTCCCTCCTACCTACCGCCCTCCCATGTTAGAAGAGACAGAAGGTGACAAAGAGCCTAAGACTTTGTTTGGTTGGAGTGATTTGAGAGAGTGGAAATGAGAGAGTGGAAAAGGAGGAATTTGAAGAGAAATGGAGATAAAGTTAAAGTTGTTTGGATGAATGGAAAGTGAAAGAAAATTTATGGGAAATTGTGAATGATTTAATTGATATGAGATATAAAAATTATAATTTTAATTGATTATTTAAAAAAATTACCATTTTACCCTTTGTATAAAATAAAGTTCAAATGATTATAAATATAATTTTTTAATTAATTATCCATATTGTAACATTGATTATATATTTAAAAGAAAAAACAAATTTAAAAGTGTTTGTAATTGGAAACAAATTTAAAAAATTAACTTTTTTTAGAAAGTTATTAAAAATTATATAAATAAACAATTACAAAATTATGTACATTGCATATCCATATTCAAATAATGTTGACATATTAAATAAATTATTTGACTAATAATTAAATAATTATAAAATATAAAATAATAATTAATATTGACTGATAATAACAAATAATTATGAAAACTAATAATATAATTGTACATTATTATTTAAAACAAATATAAAATACAAGTGAAAATAGAATAACCGCTATTACGAGTTCTTGGAAACTTCTACAACCACCTACCAAGCTTGCAGAAAACTTGTACCCAAATTCCAGGTACAACACAATACAAAAGAATTAACGATAATTGAAAAGAAGAGACTTAGAAAGCTCAAACCGGATTACGCTAATCCACTGTAAGTTTCTTCTTTTAAAGAATGCAATATGCCTCAAGAAAGATTTTCAAAAAGCTTCACAAAACAGTTGCGTATCTTTCTTGAAAATGATGCTAATAGTTGCTTGAATTTGATTGCCTAGGATGTGTAAAAACTTAATGATTAAAAAGTTCTAAGCAACTCTGATTTTAAAGAGTAATTTCAAAACTACTGCATTAATTAATCTGTTGAAAGTTTGTTTTAATCTGTTGAAATAGCCGTTATAATCTGTTAAAAGTCCTTTCAACCCATTAATGCGTTCTTGTTTCTTTATCAAAATTGTTTTAGTTGATACAACCACGTTTATATCAGTTAAAACATTTTACAAACATTTTCTAAGTGTGATTCAATCGATTGATTTACGTTTTAATCGATTGATTTACTTTAAAACTTTCTTATAAAACTTTTCAAGTTATTTTAACTGATACAAAGAAGTTTTCAAGTCTCGGGTTGTATTTCGCTCGAGCGATTATACTCTCGCTCGAGCGAAATACGATCCTGATCGATCATAATTTGAAATGATCAATCATAATTGGAGAATATAATAGCGGTTCCTCTGTAACCGCTATCTAAAGTGTATATTAGATAGCGGTTAAGGTTTAACCGCTATTATAAGCTCACTTTAAGAGCGGTTCCAGTGGGACCGCTATCATATACAACCATATTTGAAGTTTCTTGAGTCTCGGGTTGTGTTTCGCTTGAGCGACTATATCTCGCTCGAGCGAAATTTGATTCTGATCGATTAGATTTTCGAAATGATCGATCATATTTGATAATTTTTTCAAATAATTAATTCTAATCGATTATTTTTCTAAATTATTGATTAGAATTGATTAGTTTTTCAAATAATAGCTTAGAATTGATTAATTTCAAAATATATATTAAAAAATTATAATTAAAAATATAGATTATTTAAGAATATTAACTATTGTAAAGATAAAGTAGAACATGGGAGGAGATGAGGATGATAATATAATGATAGAAGTTACAAAAATGTAGAATTGAGAAGTTTGAAACAAAAAAAATTAAGAAAATAGAGATTTAATTACAGTTTTAATAAATTGAACATAATTACAATATAATTTTCTACTACGAGAATGAACAATATAATTAAGAAGATCAAGTGTAATGTTATTGATGCTAATTTTAACAATAATACAATAATATTATTTTCGAAAATGCCCATATGAATGTGAATATTTTGATTATTATTATATAAAATAATTAAAAGAATAAGGTAAATAGAAAAGTAAAATGCATGGTTATACCACTTTCCTTTTAATCTATAATTAGTTAGGTATGAATCAAATGTAAAGTCTAATGTTATTGATGCTAATTTTAAGAAGATCACAAAATGTAAATTAAAATAATTACAATATAAATTTCTACTTTGAGAATGAACAATATAATTAAACTCAAAATTGAGAATACTCTTATACATTTTTGAACTCTTTTGGATAAATTTTGTTTTCCTCATTTTTGATAAAGTTAATTTTAATATTTAAAAGTATTTAACATTTTTAATTCTGAAAGGTTTTCTCTAATAGCAAATTAAAAAACATAATATTCAAAAAAATATTTTAAGATTCAGTCTCGGGTTGTAATTCGCTCGAGCGATACTACTCGCTCGAAGCGAAACAAGATCCTGATCGATCATAATTTGAAATGATCGATCATAATTGGAGGATATAATAGCGGTTAAACCTTAACCGCTATCTAATAGTAACCGCTATCTAAAGTGTATATTAGATAGCGGTTAAGGTTTAACCGCTATTATAAGCTCCCTATATAC